ATGCCACGAAGAATTGAGGCAGTTCTGAAGGCAAAAGGGGGTCCAACCCGTTACTAGCATGGGGTACCTAATAAAGTGGCCGGTGAGTGTAGATGGTCTGGATAACTGGATTTTAACCGCCGGTCCAGGAACCATCCAGAGGTGACAGCCATAAACCCTGGTAAGTATGCAAATTAAAGCTACAATTATTCAACTAAGAACACTAAATTGATTTCACCTCCGATTGTGAATAAGTTAAATAATTAACTATAACTCCAGTTCTAGTTAAACATTTATTCATTATCTGCAGGATATCATTTTGCACAACAAATGTAACGATCCAGAATCCCCTCATCCCATTGGTCAAGCCCAGTGTTAGTCATGGAGAAGATGGCGGGAGACAACAGAGCAGATGGAGGACGAACGGAGGAATTAAAATGCTGATGCTGCTTTACTCAGTTTTATTCTGCAGCATTTAAAGACAAACAACTCCTGACTGCTGCAAGAGCTCAGAGGAAATACAGGTGAAAAAGTCAGCACATTATGGGGCAATGAAATAATGATTTATTTTTTCTGTTTTATAACTGTAGCCTACAACCATTGCATTTAGGGCACAATATGTTTACAAGTTTGCACAAGTTTGCTGTTGCACTAAAAATGTCCACCATTTATTTATTTATTGATTTATATTCATTTTTACTGTTTGAAGTGACGCAGGACAGGCTTATGTTTAAAATACTTATTTTATTCGGCAAAGTTTGTTATTTTGTTTTAAAGTGAATCACTGGATAATAATATGTTTTCCATGTGTTCATTTCACTCACAAATATGCATCTAATTCAATAGAGATTTGGGTCAAATTGTAAAAAAAAAAATCACTTTACACACAAAGGGGGGCTAAAAACAATCCCCACGGCAGGAGGGGTGAAGGCAGTCAGGTCAGCTGGCATGTTGTTAGCCTGGTGGTTAGCAGGGACACGCAGCAGAGACTCTGCACAGGTGAAAACTTACAGTCTGGAGCTGCATCCTCAGCTGGTTGTTGGTGAATTTTAGGGATCTGGCGATGGCTTGGAGATAATATATCAGCATACTGAAACACAGTAACCCAGAGACAGAGTGTTTCTGAGGCTGAACCACTGGACCGTGAAGGAGAGCAGACGGAGGGGGGGGCTTACAATAAGAGCAGCACTGCAGGCAGGACCACCACCGGGCTGGTGACGTAACTCATCACTTTACTGAACCACAGCGGGAAGTCGGAGGCCACCGTGTCTGAGATGATGTCATAAATCTTTTCTTGACCACTGAAGCACAAATATCAACCTTTAACCAGCAGCATCACACTCTTACAGGAATTCCTCAGACAGGAAGTGAGTGTGACTTCCTGTTCTGAAAGGTTTAATTCAGTCCTTTACCTGAATGGTCCACAGTGCTCAGAAGGTCTGTAGCGCACGATGGCAAAGATGGTGGGAAGCATGCACAGGAAGAGCATGAACAGCAGCATAGCCAGGTAGAAATTATTGGACCTGCAGAAACATGTCAGGACTCGTCTCATTACATCACTACCTTTGTTCTGTTTCCATAGTTACTAACGGCCTGATCTCTGGTGAACCCTCAGGTTCCTGACTAATGGAATCTACACTTCATCAGCTGTTACCGCTGAACACGCCAGCAATGGAGAGAGTGTGTTTGATGGAGGGTCTCACCTGGAAGCTCTGAACACCTGCTGGTGAGGAACATTACAGGTGAGCACAGCCCAGCTCCTCAGATACATCAGACCAATCAGCTTCAGCACATTGAAGGCAGGCAGACATGGAGAGAAGAAGGCTCCCATCCTGAGGAGCAGCAAACGCACCACATCATAAGAAGGAAATGAGCTCAGAGTCACTTCCTGTTTATTATGTCTTCAGACTCACCAGATCATCCCTTGGTTGTAAATCAAGTGCAGGACATTTTCAGCTATTTTAAATTCTCCGTACTCTGGCTGCAAAAACAGCAGAAGGTTGGTTTTCATGTCAGTGAAGTCTCCTGACTTTAAATCAATGGAGTCCAGCACCCTGCTGCATGTGGTCCTAATCCACCCTAATTTCATGCAATGTCCTGTTTGTTTTTTCTGCTGGTTCCTCCTTCATGAATGACCTGGATGAAGAGGCAGAAACTGCAGAGCAGCTCTGGAGCAGACCTCCAACCAGCAGGGCTGCATCAGACGGAACCAGGGGATCTTCTACAGCAGGGGTGTCAAACTGGTTCCAGAAAGGGCCGAGTGGCTGCAGGTTTTCTTTCCAACCAAGCAATAGCACACCAGACTCCAGTCAATTCATAATGTCATGATGTTCAGATTGGACTCACTTGATGAGATGATAGGAGTCTGGTGTGCTATTGCTTGGTTGGAAAGAAAACCTGCAGCCACTCGGCCCTTTCTGGAACCAGTTTGACACCCCTGTTCTACAGGATCCTCCACATCTTTATTTGCTTCTAGAACTGGATAAGTTCTATCCTGATTATTTCTATAGCTCTAATTCACATCATATCATGTTTATAGATCCAGATAAATTAGATCACCCAGTCAAATCAAAGGTTTGCTTTGAGCAGAAAGAGCAGAGACACCATAAACCATGGTAGCTAAGCTAAATTAGCTCTATGGGCGTTATAAACTGCTGAGTCCTACATCATTGCCCGCCCCTCCCACTGCGCTGAACCTAATCCTTGGGTATTTTTGTGTCTGCCAGCTTCCTCTCCAGGCAGCAGAGCCACTGCAGCCTCTCTTTGGGTTCAACATACTTACAAACTTGCTCTCCAAGTCCCAGCAGCAGCAGTCACTCAGGTAGCGAACGACCAGACCTCTGATGAAGTCAATGAGTAAGATGCTGGCTACTGTGAAGATCATGTCAATGATAGAAAGCTTCAACATCTCCTGGAATCAAACCAACATGGAGAAATGATTTAGCTGCAGCAATTACCCAAATAAAACACTAAGATGGAAAATGTTCCTTATGTTTCTGTTAGTTGGAGGCACTAAGAGGTTGGAGGAACTTTCCAGAAATCCTGAGTTGACCCCTCCAGTCAACCTGTTCATTAAACGACCTGATTTAAAAACATGAAAACGAAACCTGTCCAACATAGGTCTCCCAGCACTGGTCCTGGGAGCGGACGGTCTTCTCAAAGGGAGAGCTCTGATTAGATGCTGTCACAGAGACGCTTCTGTTGTGGATGAAGTTGATAGCCGTTGTGATGGTTGCCATGGTACTGTTGAGATGCTCAGATGAGGAGATCCTTGATACTGGGGCAGAAAGGCTGGTTGTGGTGGAGCTGCTGTCAGTCCAGTTATTAGAGCTCAACTGGGGCTTCATTAAAATATCAACCAAGAATGGGAAAGAAAATGTTAATTGGAGGGATCCTGTAAGAGGAAATGCCTAAATAAAGATTTCACTGGAAGCTAAAGCTTAGGCTGATAATTGGGAGTTGTCAATCTTTTGATCCTGGACGGAATAGGTAATGTAGAAACGTAGAATTGTGATACTTACAGCTGAACTCATAATGTTGACTTTATCCAGAAGAGCAATGATGAGGCTGTAGAGATTCCCAAGGTATAGAACAAGGACTCTGAAATCACAATAGAACATCAATCTGTAAAAGCATCTGAAACCTCCCCTCCTTAACATGGTGGAGGGGTTTCAATTCTTCAAAGACCCAAGAGGCTACAGTATGTTGCCAGGGGCTTCTATTGAGCTCAGTGGTGTTTCATTATGGGACTTCTGTGCAAACCACCAATTTTCCTCAATGAACACTGTGTTCAAGCAGAAGGATTTCCATCGTTGCAGCTGGAACTAGGATGCCCTAGGCTGGAGGTCGATAATCAGCTCTTTAGGCGTATCTTCTGACCTTCAGCTGCATGTCTTGGACATTCGGGTGAACCGAGGGGCGGAGCTGTGCACCAACGACCACGTGGTGGTAAGCTGGATACACTGGAAGAGTCCGTCACAAACATGGCAGGCCCAAACAAGTCGTGAGGGTCTGCTGGGAACACCTGGTGGAGCCCTTGGTCAGGAACATGTTTAACTCCCACCTCAAAGAGAGCTTCTGGCAGGTTCAAGGGGAGGTTGGGGACATGGAATCTGAGTGGGCCATGTTTTCTTCCTCTTTTGTTGATGCAGATGCCCGTAGCTGTGGCCATAAGGTCTGTGGGGCCTATTACAATCCCTGAACCCTGTGGTGGACCCCAGCAGGAAGGGATGCTGTGAAGCTAAGGATTTCTGGTTGGCTTTTGGGACTCCTGAGGCAGCAAGCAGGTTTCCTGATGCCAAGTGTGCCACAGGAGAGGCAAACACTCTGGCCTGGGATGAGTTTAACAGACAACAGAAAGTGACTACAAGTGTTCAAAAAACATGTTGGCAAGGCTTTCAGGTGGATGAGAGCCGACCTAAGTACCTCAGAGCTCTGGATGTTGATGTGCCTCTTCAACATTATGTGGAGGTCTGGGACAGTGTCCCTGGATTGGCAGACCAGGGTAGTGGGTCCTCTGGATTAGAAGAGGAACCGGAGGGTGTGTTCCAACTATAGGGGTTCACACTCCTTAGCCTCCCTGAAGGCGTATGTCAGGATCCTGGAGAGGAGGGTCCAGCTGAATGTGGAACCTCTGCTTCAGGAGGAGCAGTGAGGTTTTGGTCATGGCTGTGAAACAATGACCAGCTCTACGCTCTTTGCAGGGTGCCCAAGGGTGCATGGAAGTTTGACCAACCAGTTCACATGTGCTTTGTGGATCAGGAGAAGGTATTTTTAACCAGGTCCCTTGTGGTGCCCTGTGGGGGACGCTTCAGAGATACAGAATCCGGGGCCATCTGGTCTTTGTACAGGTGCAGGAGTTTGGTCTGCACTGCCGACATTAAGTCAGACCTGTTCCCAGTGCATGTTCACCTGACAGGGCTGCCATCTCCTGTTCACAACCTTTATGGACAGGATTTCTTGGTTCAGCCAAGAGTCAGAGGGCATCTGGTCCGGGGACCAGCAGATCTTGTCCCTGCTTTTTGCAGATGGCGTGGTTCTGCTGGCCTTCTACTGCCTCAGGCTTCCTCCAGCAGAGCTGTAGGAGGTGTTCATGGCTTGGGACGACTGGGAGTCTCTGCTGAGGCTGCTGCCCCTGCGGCCCGGTCCCAATGAAGAGGGAGACCACAACCACATCTCAAACCTTATCAGTAGACTAGATTTCCACACACAGAGATGTTTGGTAACCATTAAGGTCACATTGAAACATTAAAAGCTATGAAATATCCTTTAAGAAACTCCTCCTGATCAGTCTTCTATTCTGGGATGGTTCCAATAAACCTCCACGATCTTCACTAGATGAGGGCATTTCCAGTTTCTGAACAGTTAGATCTGTCATGAATGATGAGCCAGACAAGTGTTTGGTGTTTCCTTGCTCTGGATCTGTTAAATGACCCATTCATAGTGAATGAACCGGCGCTATAATAATACACAGAATTCATAGGAGTCAAACAGGCGAGATCATAATTAGGTCACATTTCAGCTTCATAATAGTATTATACAATTATTTGTGTTTAACATTCCTCTCTGACAAAATGACAACTTTTTAGACAAAATTCCAAAAAAGAAAATTAAAAACAATCCACTGGACTATGTTTCCAAGTTTGAAGACATTTCTCTACCATCCAGGAAGCTTTTTCAATTCAAAATGTCAGAAATAGCGTTTAGTTCCAGGTTTTATGCCGCAACCCAACAAAAGCCTGGTTTTGGTTTAGAAAACATGCAAATAGAAACGGATGAACGGGTCCCCCCCTTTGAAATGGGGGTAGTTTGGCTTCTTTGTTAGCCTGCAATGCCCCATACCTGTCTATGTCTCTGAAAGGGGGGTCGTTAGAGGGAATAGTTGGCCTGGCTGAATAGGGGAGGTCTTCTGCTCTCCTGTAAAGGGGTTGGGGTTGCAATGATACTGGGAAGGAATCAATTCTACCGCTGCATTTTAGGTTTTTGAAAGCTGGAATCTGAGTCGTCCCATCCCCCCCGTTTAGGGTTGGTTTTTCTTTCTTAACATAGATGGCTTCCTTCACGCCCCTCTCAAACCACCTGTCCTCTTTGTCCAAAATGTGAACATTCTGGTCCTCCAAAGAATCTTGTTTGTCCATCAGCTGTAGAGTCTTGTCTTCTGTGTTGGGCTATGCATCTTTAAAGGTAAGTTCTTTAAAGTTTTCTATAAATACTTAGTCTCTAAACACTATAGAACATTGATAATTACCGTAGATTGCCGGTTATATCCCTGCTGCAGTGTTTAATTTATTGCTGCTGTGATGTGTTGGATTCTTGAAGTTCAGTCATGGTCTGTTATGTTTTCAATAACCACAATCAAGTGACTCAATGTGTGAGCTTGACCCCTGACCTCTCTCTTTTTGTCCTGTTTGCTTCAGTGAGCTGCAGCTCTATAGAACACCTAACCATCACAGTGAGGAAGGCAGCAGTGAGGGCAGCGGAGACACAGTGACACACAAGCAGAACAATTTGTATCTCAGATTTAAAGCTTAGAAATTTCCCATTCTCAATAAGGATGGTGTCAGGGTTTAATGGTACCAAAATCCAGTTTGGTAGTTTTAATTCAATGAAAGCTGTAGATCATTCACATGAATTACTGTGCACCTTACAGAATGTGTACCTAGTGGGAGGCTGTACTCCAGCTGCTGGTTTGAAGTGATTATGAACTACTGAGACGTTGGACCTGATCACTTATTTTGACCATATCCACATATGTGTAGTTTAATGAAAGGATAACTCACAACAGTCACACAAGCTGGCAAAGTAAAAATATCATTATATGAAAACGTTAAATCAGATATTGCTTTTCAACCAGGCTTCAATAGATTTATTTTAAACAGAACTAAAATGTTGCTTCTCCTGGAAAAGACTGACAATAATGTGACCAAGCAGACATGGAACAGCAAGGAATGTCCTCCTATGGAAATCCCAGGTTAGGATTAGGCTCTATAATCTGTATTCAGTCAGTGGGCCAATATAGGGCTACAGCTATTCACTGGATGGAGAGATGGTTTGATCCACACTCATGATTAAAAGGAAAATAAAAACAGAATCAAGCAGGTAGGAAAACCAATCATCAGTTAGATCAATACCTTAAACTAATAATCCTTCAGTTAACAGTTTACCTACACTTCAGTGTGGTCCTGTTTCTCTGACTGTGACTAACTGGATGTGCTCTCTTCATCCTCTGACATGAGAGCTGGCTCGGAGCTCGTCTGCCTGGCTGTGTGTTTCCTGGACGGGGCCGCCTGTGGAGCTGGTTGACAGTTGCCCTTTGCATCTATGCTTCTTTTCTATTACCCCATTTACACGACCCTTAAAAAACCGATCCATACCGAGACCGGTCCGAGCTCGGATCAGTTAACCAGGCCGAGCTCGGTTCTGACCACCTTTTACACATCACGCTATCTCGGTTCCTCGACTCCTCACCTCCTAGTGATGATCTGCGGTATTACTGCCAGTATTGAAGGAGGAAATCAATCAGTTGGTGGCGGTAATGAACCAAAAGTTGTTTGCCAACCGCCAAAACACAAGAAGAAGAAGAAGAAGAAGAAGAAGGAGGGAATCAAGCAAATCAAAATGGCGGCACCCATCACATTCAGAAAGTTATGCTTGATTATTATTGCTGTACTTCGGTGTTTGCGGAGGGTCAGGCGAAGACGGCAACCTTTCATGGATTTACTTGACAAAGAAAGTAGTTGTTCTTCTTCTTCTGTTTCCGGAGGGGCATTACCGCAAACTACTGGAATGGAGTGTGAATCGCGATGTGCTGCCAGGCGGAGATGACGCGTTCTGCTCACTGGAAAGTGACCTGAGATGACAGGATTTGAATTGGCGCTATAGAAATAAACTGAATAGAATAGACCTTCAAAAGTCGGAGGCAGCTCTAAACAAATGGGTTTTAGTTTAAGGTTCTGGTCCAGCTGTTTGATTGGTTTTACTTTTATTCTGGTTTTATCTCTGCTTCCTTTTATTTTTTTATTTTCCCTCTATTCTTTACTTTGTCTAAAGCACTTTAAATTGTCTTTGCACTGAATAGTGTTATAACTCACCTTGCTTTGTCCATATTTTTTAGCATCCTGGGACTGTAAACAACAGGACAGATAACCCTATACGGAGGCATCTAAGAGGTTTACAGAAGTCTTAGACTGAAGGTGATACTGTCACCTTAAACACCTCTAATGACAAATGAACTGAAACACAAGAGTCTTGATTCTGGAAGAGAATCCAACACTTGGAAGACTGCTTTAACACCTGAAGAGGAAATATCACTGGTCCAATCAAACCTTTTCCTGTTATATCACACTAAGATCCTTCCTGAGAACTAACCTGGGTCCTGGAAGGACTTTGGCCCCATGAATGATGTGTTTATGAGGGAAACACACATTAATGTGTCTCCGAAATGTTTCGCCTGCTGGTGAAAGAGGATTCAAAACCCAGTTTGCTTAAGTCTAGACCGAAACACAGTCAGACCTCAACATTACAACTAATGAACACTTTTGGAAAAACACTAAATTAAATGCTGCCTAGTATTGCCTAATGGTAAATCCCACCCCGAAAGATGCTATAGGTAGATATTACCATCCCTACCTGGCCAGCTGGAACCGCAGAGAGGTCCTCGGGTGGTACATCTCCAGCTGGGCAACCAGCTCAAATGCAGAAGGAGCAATCATTGTGATGAGGGAAACCACCACGCTCACCTGGAGGCACAGACAGCAAAGCAACAGCATGTTCCTACAGGAATCAGAGCAAATGATGGACCACTGAAGGCCAGAGGTGGTCAGTGGCTCAGCAGGTAGGAGCCTAGCTCTCTGGATCCGCTCCACGGCTCCAGTTTCAGTCTAATCCTGTTGGATGGCAGCTAATCAAATGAAAGCTTTGATCATCATATGTCTCCTGCTGCTGTACCTCATTCTTCTCCCACAGTGTCAGCTCCGGCTTCTCCTGCTCCAGTTTCTGAGATCGGTCTACCACAAAATAGATAATGTAGATGCTCCCAGCGAGCGACAGCAGAACCAGGATATTGGCTAAAATACGCAGACTGATGAGAACAGCCCTGAGGAAACACAGAAAGGTCTATGATCAATCCTCTCAGGAAGAAAAGTAGCTTTTCACTCAAACCTTCAGTGCAGGCTGGTTCGTTTTATGGTTGCAGGTATACAGACCAGAAAGTTTGGCTGCTGCTGCCAGACTTAGATTAACAGCAGAAGTTTTTCGTCATTTAGCTTTTATATTTACATTTGATTAAGAATGGATTGTTAGAAATTAACCAACCTCTTCTTAATAATCAGTGGAAAAGTAGTACTTCATCTGGGGCCCACCCAGATAACGTTGCTTATGGGCCTGTTGTTGTGTTGTTGAGCTGAGGAGCCCCATTTGCTCCAAACCTGAAATGCTGTTGATGGGTTTGGTTCTGCAGATCAGGGCTTTTTAGGTGTTGCAGACCTGCTCCAGTGTGCAGTAGTCTCCAGTCAGAAACGTTTAATAGTGTTAATTTGACTACAGCACCTTCCTTTGTCTCTTTACAGACCTCTCAGAAAGGACAGACGGACAGAACGGGACTCCATCCCGGTTTGAAGTGTTTTGTGAAAACTTTTTATTTTTCTCTCTGCAGATGCAGGGATGTCCAGGAGTTCCCTAGAGAGACGTGGATGCATTGAGTAGACAAACGTATGGAGTAGGGGTGGGCAATTCCACTTCCTTGGGGGCTGGTATCATGTAACTTTTAGGTGCAACACACCTGAATCAGGTAAATAGATGTTTGGGAGGACTCTGCACTCAGCCATTTGATTCAGGTGTGTTGGACCAAGGATGGATCTAAAAGTTGAAGGATACCGGCCCCCAGGAGCTGGAACTGCCCACCTCTGGTATGGAGAGTTAGGCCTGACCAGGAAAGAACGACTTCTCTCTGAGAAGCTGAGAAAAAATGGCTGTCTGGAAATAATCTTTGCAGACCTCAACACATCCTGAAATTCTCTGACCAAAGGAAGCTAGCAGGACTAGCGGCTGATGCTGCTCAGATTACTGCACCTCTAGGAGTCTTTGTTTAAATTAGACAGTTTTACCAGCTATAGGAATAAATGCTTTAAACGGAGCTTCTTTGGGAAGGATGGCAGAAATAACAGGTAAGAGGATCATTTCATATTTCACTTGAAAGCCAAAATCTAGGCCCGGCCCAGGGCCCAACGGACACACGCTCATGTTCATCTATTCATAGAAATGGCTAAAACTCAGTCACATGGTGTTTCATCCACACGCCTTTCAAATGGGGCTTTAAAATTTCTAAAACATGTTTCAAAATAACTTTTTTAACAGGAACTTTTTGTTTTATAGCTGTGTAAATAAATAAAATGAGATTTAAAATTCCACCTGACGTGTGACTCTGCGGGAGTAATGCAGCAGCAGGTATTCATTTGTAGCCCCGCCCCCTAATGGCATCATTAGAAACTAGAGGCTCAGAACTTTCCGAGGAGGGGTCAGAGGTCATTGTGAGACCATTTCAGGTGATGTAACCGGCATGCTTTACATAAGCTGCTCTATTATTCTTATTTTATATTCAGTTTGGTGATTTTATTGGTAAATTTCAATGAACCAACGACTAAATCCTAGGAGGAAAGGCTTTTCCTCATGCAGAAGGTCTCCAATAATGGAAATCAGCATATTTTTCTGATGAGATTCACTTTTATGAGCGGAAAATAGATTTTTGCACTTTTGGCATTGTGCTAAAATCCCATTTCCTCCGAACACTCCGCCCACTAAAACCTTTGTGAAACAAACATGCTTCAACTTATTCAGTCCAAATTAGCTTGACTTATAGTGAAGATGTGGATCTATAAAGTCTGAGGTTTCATCCAGGGTTTCAAATGGGCGTTCATGGTGTTTTGCAGAGTTTATTTTGTAAAAACATTAGGCAAGGCTAAATATTTTTCATTTTTTTCTATAAATCAGACATGGAGACGTTTAAAATAGTGATTCCACCTGAAAAATATTCCTCAATGTCTTTTATTTCCAATGTATAGTTTGGAAGCTGGACTTGCTTTATTTCACATATGTGTGGTTCTCTCACAGATTTAACCAGAGAGGTTTTAGTTAAGGTCTTTACTCAAGAATATCTCCAGACTTTAAAGAAAGCTGAAAAACTCACAGGCTGGTATCCTTCTTCTTCTCCTGCTCTTCAACGATTGCTTCCTGTTTATAGAAACATGGGTCAGGTTTCTCCTGAGATGATGTTCTTACGGGGAGATGCTAGCTGTGTTCAGTCACTGACCCTGATGTTGTTCACGATTGCAGCTCCTTTGCACTCTGCAGCCTCAGGGTTTCCTATCAGGTAGTCCCAGGCACAGAAAACTCTCCAACAGAAGGTGAAGTTTTCATCAGATGCGCTGGCCAGACTCAGGCGCGAATTCTTCGCCATTCTGATGGACACATGATGTGGTGAAAGGTCTTAGAGAGCTGCAAGCATCATCAAACTTTTAGGATAAGTCGTGGACAGAACAAATATTACTTGCGTAACAAAATGATGAAGCTGTAGGCGAATACAGCCATCCCAACAAGGAAGTATGCCAGCGGCAGCCGGTAGCCGGCGCTGCCGATCTTCCTCACGCTGCCGTAATAACCATAGAATAAGACGGAGTACTGCAGGTAGCCCTGTGGAGAGCCAAACACCAAATCCAGGTAGAGACTACAGATTAAACTGATGCTGATGGAGAGACGTCAGCCTCGGCCAGTCTATGGTATACTGAGACCCAAAGGTTGAAGAATATTCCACCTCAGTGACTTACAGTGGAGGAGATTGATTAAAATGACCTTGCTGGACTAGGAGGCCATAAAGTTATTTTTAAATGAAGACCTATGGCGTCTTTATATTGTTTGTTATTGATCAAACGGTAAAACTTGCCCCTAGAGACCAGATGGTGTCCAAGTCCTGGGCTGATGCTAGATGCTCCTTGGGGATAGTTTTACTTCTTGTTGTTCCAAACGAAGCTCCGGCCAGCAGCTGGATGGAGATCAGGTAGATCCAGAACAGACAGATTTAATCCCTCTAGTGGACTCTCACAGATAGACAGCAAATCTTCAACATTTACAGGGGAATACAGAACAAACACAGTTAGAGCCTCTGAATGAATCAGTGTCTGGTGGAGTGTGTGTGTGTGTGTGTGTGTTGGGGGGTGGGGGTGGGTGTGTGTGTGGGGGGCTGGGCGTAAGTAATGTCAGGGGAAATTGCTTGTGTCTGCATGTCACTGACAACAATAAATCCAGCATCGTGTTTCCTCCTCTCTTCTTCTCTGCAGTCTAGGTTTAATCCCCACAGATCTACAGTTTGGATCTAGAAATAAAGCTCTATAAAAAGCCCATTAAAGAAAAGGAATGAAACTTCTCCTCTCTGATGAAGCAGATCAGAGTGAAAAAAGAGGAAAGCACACAGCAGCTTGCAGACTGGTGAGAGGAAACTGGACCAGACCTCCCAGTTCCACTGGTTAGACCAGCTAGTTAACCAAATGCAGCCATTATGGGCCGCCCTGGTTATGGTCATTACTAATGCATAACACTAAACCAGTATGTTTTAGCTATTTGTGAGGACCACATACAAAACCTTTTTTTTTTTTTT